ATGCATAAAAGGTGTCTTGCAATCTAGCTGGGATATTAGGGGGAGTGGGGGACCTCTTGGAGTTTCTATTTTTTCTTGTATTTTTGGCACTAAGTTTCATCAATTTATTTTAATGTCCTGTAATTTCTATTTGTTTTGCAGTGTATGTTTCGAGGATGTGCACAGGCTTGGTGATGGCCAGGTCAAGCATTCTCCAGAAGTTTTCTATGCTGGTTCTTTGTGGAAGGTACATGGATGTCAATTCATCATTATGCTAATTTATGATGATTTTGCATATCCTAGCATGAATAGAATTTTTTTTTGTTTGAATCATCAGGTCAGTGTACAAGCTTTTAATGATGAAGATCCCCAGGGAAGGCGTACCCTTGGTAAGGTTTTTTATTTTTTATTGGTGAAATTCCCTTGTTAATGTTTTAATATATCGAAATTCTCACCTTTGGGATGTGAGTTAATATTAAAATTAAATAGAGAAAATGTCGTCTGTCTGGAAGCTTATTGATAATGCTAATGCAGGGTTGTTTCTTCACCGTCGGAAGGCAGAGATAATTGATATACATAGAAAGGTTAGCAGGACTGCTTTTTGCACTTGAAATCTTGAATAAGTTGGGCTTTAACGTAGATTGGAGTTAGATTATTCTTTTAAGTTTGAAATTCTTTTTATTGAATATTAATTTAGAGTGATGCCTTTAGCAGCACTATGACACTACAATGCCTTATTTTCCATTTTTTATAGACGGTTGATTAAATGGCCTATCATTTATACTTGCTAACTGATTGCCAGTAACCTTAATTGTAGATCTTCTATTAGATGGTAGATCTGACGACTTCTATATCCTTGAAATTTATTATCAGGTACATATGTATGTTGACTCACGTGAAAAGGTGACTGCACGCTACCAGGTATTATCAGCGATGAATTGCTGCTTTAATAATTCAATGCTCATGATGTTCTATCACTTTGGTTAATAATTCTGGGATTGTTCTGTTTTTCTCATTTAGTTGACTGTCCCATTCAAGAGGGAAATGATGGTGTTTGGAAGCTTTAAACAAACAGGCACTCTTCTACCTAAAGCTCCTAAAGGATGGGGTTGGCGAACTGCTCTGCTATTTGATGAGCTTGCTGATCTTCTCCAAAATGGCGCCCTAAGGGTCATTGCTGTAGTGCAGCTTGTTTGAATCGAACAGTTAAAACATAAAGTTCTTGCATACCATAGCTGAAAATGCTAATGGTTTGTGAAAGGAAAATTACTAGTTAGCTTTCTTTTCTGAAACAAACTTATCCAATCTTTTATAGAAGATGGACGATGGTGAAAGCCTCATTGTACATGATAAAAATTGAGAATTGTGAAGCTGCATGCTATTGTATGAATAGCACGGGATAAGTATACTATATACATCATTTAGCTTTGCCTTCTTCATTGTATAAGCAAGGCGTCATGATGTATACTTACTAGATGTCCTTTTTTTGTAATTTTTTTTTTTACTATGATCAGGGATAGTGATGTCAATGAGGCGGTACAGGTAATAGTTTTCTGATATCCGTCCCCTCAAATAAATATTAGTTCCATATTCCTTTCTATATCTATAAGGATACTTGTTAAGCAGGAACTTGCAAATTTTTTTTAAAAATATTTGTGAATATTTATAAGTATTTGTGAATATTTATTAAAAAAAATTAAAAATCTCATAAATAATTTTAAAAAATATTTTAGTTATAATTTTATTTATTCTAATAATATTTTTTTTAAATAATAATTTAATAGTTAAAATTTAAATTATTCAAATATTATATATAATTTTATTGATCAAGATTCTTCAATTTAAAAATTAAATTTAATCGTTAAAGTACTTCAATATCATAAATTTAACAAATTTAATAAACTAAAATAATTCAATTTCATAAGTTCAAAATATAAGTTAAAAAGTTATAATATTTTGATTTTATAAATAAAATTTTTATGTAATATCATATTTTTATTTAACACATTATATATTTACATAAAAATATTTAGTAATATTATTCCAACAGGTATTTAATGGATATTTCCTTGACGAGTATCTTGATATCAATCTTCATCTTCATTTATTAACAGGTATAAAAATATTTATCTATTTAAGTATTTATTTATTATCTCTAAAAACGATGGTGTATGAGATAAAAAATAATTCCTAAACCTATCGAAGTTAGTGTTTAGGATTACATATAATCTATGGTTTTAAGTGTCTAGGGTTGACGTGGAAATGGAGGACTATTTTTGTCCATGCTTCGTACTTATCTTGTAGTTATTCTAAATATGAGTGTTTTGAGCTCGTAATGGATGAATGTTAATCAGTTCGGTTTCAATTCTACTTATCTGTCAATGTTGATTATACGGATTGATTTCAATTATGTGAATGATGGGTGTGGAAGTGGAATTTGAGATCCACCTTTAGTTTGCAAAGTTATCAAAGTGAAAAAATATATGTTGCAAAAAAAAAAAAATGAATTTGATTACTGTGTACTATTCTTTAGTTTTAATTTTGTATGAAAATATTGTCAATAATTTATATGTATAGTTTTTAGTTTGCTTGTTGTTGTTATTTTTTAACTATTACAATTAAAAGGTAGTAGTGATAAAATTTTAATCGATGAAAATTGTTTCTTTTTTCTCTAAACTTATATTGTTTAAATTAAGTTTTTTAATATTTGAATAATTCTTTAATAATATTATCTTAAAACAAAAAAGAATTATTTTTCTTTATAAAAATTAGAAGATTTTTTTTTTTTACAATAAACTAGTGAGGATAAAAATAGAAAAAGAGATGGAAGTTATATTTTTATGCTAAACATATATTTCTGTTTATTTTAATACTAAACCAGGTAATCGTGCTTCCTTCTATGCTAATCTATTTGAAGATATTACATTTTACTTATTAATCTTTTTTGTGTGTATTGCAAGAGTATTTTTAATTCAAATAAAAATTATATATAAAAAGAAAAAATTAATAGTAAATATTTTCATTATTAATGATGAAAACTTTATTATATAAAATAGGAATAAATTTAATAAAAAGGTGATACTTTAAAAAAATTAAAAAGGAGAATATTATAAAAAAGAATAATTGATAAAATTTAGGCACATTTTAAAAATTAAATTCAAAGCAAGATAAAGTAATCAATCCTTATATATTAAATACGTATTTTTATTTTGTAAGAAAGTATTTTTAAGAATTTCCTTTCAATGTAATAATTTGTAATAAATTTTTTTAACTTTTTATTTAATTTAATTTTTATTTATCATAATTATTTATGAATTAAATATTAAAATTTTAAAATAAATTATCAATAACTAAAATTATTTTTTTTGTTACAATACAAATTATCAATCCCTATATATTAAACACAAACATTTATTTTGTACAAAAATATTTTTAGAAGGTTTTCTTCAACAAGATAGTTTGTAGAGATTTTTTTTAACTTCTTATTTAATTCAATTTTAATTTATCATAATTATTTAAAATTAAATATTTAATATTTTAAAAATATTATCAATAACTATAAATAATTTTTTTTGTAATACAAATTATTTATTATAAATCTAAAATATAATTTATATGTTTAAAAATATTAATATATGCATGTATATATGTATGTATACTAATATATATATATATATATATGTATGTATATATGTATATTTAAACATAATATTCATTTATATATATAACTTATTATAAATTTTAATTATATTATATATAATAAATATGTCTGTATATTATATATGTAAAAATACTAGTATTATAATATTTTAAAAATTAGTTTATTTGAAGCTGAAACATGGTTTTATTTTATTTATTTTTTTTACAAAATGCCTTTAGTTTAATAAAATATATTAAAATTTAAATCAACTTAAAATTTTAAAAAATAGTATTTAAAAGGGATAAAAGTCATAATTAAAAAAAAATTCATTGTAAGAGAAAATATTCAATTTAATAAAAATGTGAATAATTGTCAAAAATAGTTTTATTCAAAAAGGAAGACTCGTATTTGTAATACAATAATAGATAATTAAAATATTACCACTGCAGGATTTAAAAACATAAATATTCATGACTTAGTTGACCTTTCAACGACTTTTTGTTGTATATACTCAAAAGTTTGATCATTCCGTGAGAGTACTAGACAAGCTAGGAAGAAGCATGGAAAGAGT